GTTTTGAAAGCATCATTGAAACCCTGATTGGGATACTTCAGTAAGAGACCTGTATATCTCTCCCAAGCATCCCAGATGGTCTCGTCCTCCTCCTAGGCGAAATGGGTAATCACCTTCTGTAGTTCCGCTATTTTCGAGGGAGGATGATAGCAGGTCGAGAACTTATTGGCCAAGTCGGTGAAAGTAATGATGGACCCCGGGGGCCAGTTGTCCAATCACAGCTTGGCCTGTCACTCCAAGGTGAATGGCAAGTAGCGCATCTGGATGGCGTCTTGAGGGATCCCATTTATTTTGATCTCATCAATCAGCTCGTGGAATTGCCTCAGATACGCGAGGGCACTCGCCTATTCTCCCATGGAACACCACTTAGCCTCGCGGCATTGTGATGACCGAGGTGCTCACCTCAAAGTTGTTGGCTGCAACTTGAGTGTGCTGGATGATGGACCTCATGTCCTCGGCCTTAGCGGTCCAGTACTGTCTCATAGTTTGCTCCTCAGGGACAACCGCCCCAACAACATTGGGTTCGCCCATTTATTTTTCGCTCTCAGACACGTCAGCGACAACGACCTTATCAAATTCCTCCTCCGTAACCAGTCTCTGTTTGAGTGCTCGGAGTTGGCAACAAGTCCTTTCGATTTCTATATCTAACGAGTGTAGATCTCCCTACTGGCTATGAGTCATACACTACCTGCACTCAGACTGCAGACACAACCCGTGAAGGCAAACAGGGGAAGGAAAACAAATGCAAAAAAGTAATGCTAAAGTAACAAAGGTTCGTGTTTCTACAATAACCTAGAGTTCCCCGCCAACGACGCCAAAAACTTGACTCGCTATGACACAACACCAAACTACGACTAAGTGTAATTGTAGGATAGAAATGTAGAATAGTGGTTCAGTTTAATCTATCAACCCGGGGTCTAGATCTACTGCCTACTAGGTAAACTTCTATTATCTAGCAAACTAAGTGTAGTGAGTAGTTCAATTGCAAAATAAACAAAACGCAAGAAATGTTCAGGTTTTCCAAGTATATTAAAGGTCTTGCAGGTATGTTTCCCCCTAGTATGAACCTAGTTCCGATTATATATCCCAATTTGTTTAGATTGAAAGATACACTGCGGAAAGTTCTTGACAAGTCTGTAATCTCGACTAAAGAAGACTAGACCCTCTTGGTTCGAATACCTGGCAGGCGACTAACCTCCACTGACATAAACTACCAAGGCACTAGTACACCAAACTTCCTCTATAGGCTTTAATTCTAGTACAGAGCACTGAATCGACTTCTCGACTAAAGTAGTTAATTGACCAATTCCAATTTAAGGTTGGTCTTCTAACCTATGCAGAGAGTATCATTCTCGGTTAAAGTAGGAATCACACAGGTTTGATCAAGACTCATGCAATTCTGATTAATGTGTCAATTGAATATATCAAATCAATCATTCACAAACGGGGTTTATACAAAAATTCGTAGCATACAAAACTAGGGTTCTTCGTACCCAGATGAAAGGGGAGTTTACTCGATGGAGAGAAGTGGAAACATCATGCTAGGAGGAGAATGAAAATCTGCTCCTGGTGGCTAATTAGTACTCCGAGGATGAGGAATCGAGCTTCAAGGTCTTCAGATCACTCTAATCCTTGCCCGAGGGTTGTCTTTTGTCTCTCTATGTCTCTCTCTCTCTCTCTCTCTCTCTCTCTCTCTCTCTCTCTCTCTAGGATTCTCTTTCTGCTTTTAGAACTTCAAAAATCCGGATCCTCTATCCTTTTCCCGAGCTACACTTTTATAAGTTGGAGATTTGTGAGTTACGGCCAAAATTACAGCTGTAACTCCCTCTCCTAGCCCGTAACTTTTCTCAAAATGTTGTCGTTGTTGTGCTCCATAAACCAAGAGTTACGGCTTCTTTAGAAGAGTTACGGTTGAAACCATAACTTGAGAGGGGAGACCATAATTCCAAGAATGCTTTTGAAACCTTGTGTCGTCGCTTCCCAAAAGTTACGGGTGCTAAGGGCGAGTTACGGTCCAGACCGTAACTTCTTATGTAAGGTCGTAACTCCAAAGAAGCTCCTATAACCTTGGCCTTTTCCTCTGAGAAGTTACGGGCTCTTAGGGAAAGTTACTGTCTCGACCGTAACTTCCATGTCTTGGCCGTAAATTCTCCTGGCTCTCTGCCCATTCGCTCCAAAACGTTCCAAAACTCGCTCGTTTGCACCCATTCACATTCTAGGACTTGAAACATCCTCAACCAACACAACCTAGCGTAAAATAGGCCACGAGAGCGAGAAAGCGTGCTCAAACGATCAAGAAATGAAGGGGAAAACATGTTCAAATATGGCGTTATCAGAAACCAAACTTCAACGCATAAGAATAAGAATAATCGATTTAAATCAAACATCGAGTTTACATGGCTAGGGTTCACGTACCTATGCAACTAAGAAGCTTAACCAACCATGAAGAGGGTGTTCTGGGCCTTCATCACCGATAATGAGGATTCCAAAGCACCACAAAAATCAGAAAAGAGAAAACGGCCCAGTGGTGCCAATTTCACCGCCGATTACCCCTTTGAAGGTGGCTTCGCTTTAAGTTAGAAGTGTTGCTCGGTCGGCAGAGTAACGAACCTTTCTTGACCTCTCGTGTCATTCCCCCTCGAATCTGACTAGTGCCCTATTTATAGCTTTTCCATTAGACTATACAAGGAGAGAAAAGTGCCCCTACTGTGTCATTCGGCAAATCAGAAGCCTCCAAAATATGTGGCCAACGAATCATACTACTTCTAGAAAACTTGATAACGAAGTGGTCGACTCAATCAAAATCGCAACATAGGTGTTTTTCTTCAACGACGTTTGGTCTTCGAATTCTTGCTAAAGCAACTTGGGTTCAATGTTCCCTACGGCTTCCAAGTGGTCCACTAGGCTATTTGACCCTGAAAAATCACAAAACACTACCCAGACGCACATCAAAGGTATAAGAACAATCCTAGGGCTGCTAAGACGCACTTCGAAGCAATCACAACATTAATCCAATGCATTATGACTGTATTGATTGGAATTATACGCACTTTTGGTCACAACGCGGGGGTTTAGAACAGATACTTACACGTGTCATCAATCATGCCTCAAATCTTATTATTTCAAGGTTTAATAGCATCTTCTAACTAAGGGTATTTGATATTCTAGATTTACTCTAAGCATGATGGAAGCCATTGTATATATACATGTGTGTGCGCGCGCGTGTGTGGAAAAGACTAGCATACGCCTGACACATGCTATATGTCTGCTTTCATACCTATAATTTGTACTTTGATATATTTTGTTGGATCAAAACCGTCGATTATTACCAAGGTTTAAAAAGGCGCTAGGCGTAAGGCGGGCGTTGAGCCTTTGCCTTGTGCCTAGCTCGCCTAGACGTAGACTAAGCGTGCCTAGGCGTTGGAAGAAAAATAGCTATTCGCACTGCATGATGAGTGAAATAATTATCTACAACACTTCCTCACTTCAGTTAAAATGATTAATAACTTACTCAACACTTAATGACAAGAACATAGCTCGCGAATTCATAGAATCATAGCTCAATAGCTCACAAAGTTCTTGAGTTGTTGAAAATATTGCAATAGAAAATTGATTTCGTAGTTGATGTTAATTTTTGGCCTTTAATATTGACTTACTAGCTCCATCTAGTAATGTTAAGGAGAGACTTATATGTCGCCTTACTCCATGACGTGTTCTAGTATCTAATTAGGCGTGAAACCCCTAGACGAGGCGTTTTGCTATTGCCTTGCGCCTAGGCGTGCCTAAGCGTGAGATTAAGCGTGCCTTTTTGAACCATGATTATTACGATTAAATTAATCTTTTATTTTATGTTAGAGAATTGTGTGTATAATAATTTCCATTTATTTTCTCAATTATCGTGTTACTATTTAAAAGTGTATTCACATTACTGAAGTGAAATTCTAAGTAACAAATCACCAGTATTAAGAGAAATAAAAAAAGAAACACTAGTTCACGATATGCTAAAAGTATATAGGAATATTGAATATGTTTAAGATACAAAATAATTATTTATACTAGATATTATATATGAATGTATAATCGTGTTGGTTCAAGTTATCTATTACTCATGATATATATTCGGGTTCAAATTTTACCCATATATACTACCTAGTATTTATTTAGTCTGTGTGTTATCCTACCTCGTTTGTTAGATTCGGAAGGGTATCCATAATAATGAGTATTTTGCAATCCTTATCTTCTATTTGTATTTTTTATATTGTTCTTCGTGTTTGGGGTCGAAGAATCGAGGCATTAGATTAATCCATTATAGGTTTGGGGGTATAGTACCATATTCCAAACTCATTTTAATTTATGGTGTAAATAAAAATATCTCACTAGGAGTACCTATAGTATCCTATACTCCAAGCGTATAACAATATAACATAAAATAAATGAAAATTAATAACAATTGAGAAAATAAATATGGTAATGATTGATGTACTCCCGGTGCATACCATACTCCACATGATTTGGCCGTTAGATATATTTTGACGAATCAGAATTTTGATTATTATATTTTATTAAAGTAATTTTTGGGAGGGGTTTTTGGAGGTTGGGGTTTGAGGTTATCCATTGAGATTATGGTATAATACCATTCCCCAAACTCAGTTTAGTTAATAGTATAAATAGAAATATCTAACTAGGAGTATCTAGAATATAGTATACTCCAGGAATATAACAGTCTAACCCATATATATATATGGTTTGATGGATGCTTAGACCAGTTCTTTGACTTCCTCGCTAGTGTGCTGAAATGCTCCTAACATTGCACTCCCCTCATTTTTATGAAATCTCCATCAACCGACTGGTTTACCATCATTGTGGTGTCTCAATCTAGTCCTTTTGGCGAAGTACTTTACAATTTGCTCTGGTGTGAATCAATGATGGGGCATGCTTTGATATACTCTTGGAATATCCTCCAAGCATCGTATAAAGTCTCTCCTTCCTTATGTTAAAATTGAGTAATCTCATTTTTATGCCCCTCCGCCTTCCATGGTGGAAAGTACTCGATGAATGCTTATGCAAGGGTCTCCCGTGTGGTGAAGCTGCCTAGTGGATGGTAGTCGAGTCACTCCTTTGCTCCTCCTCCAAGAGAGAACAAGAAGAGTCATATTCGAATGCCATATTTAGTAGCATCATCTCTTTGTAATAAATTGACGATCTTCGAGAATGTCTTCAAGTGTTACACCACATCATCAATATTCCTTCCTTCAAATCTCCTTGCTTGTTGCACCATCTGGATAAGTTGAGTTCTAATTTCTACGGTCGGTGGTGGCACAAAAATGCTTGAGGTGATGTTGGATGGCCTTGGCCTTGAATACTCATTGAGAGTAGGTGGAATGGCTACTTATCTTTATCCTTTTTCTCCAACCATCGTTGGTGTTGAAGAAGTTAGGTGGTCCTTCTTCCCCTGAATCGAAGTTTTCTTCTTCAATCTTGTCCTCCTCTCCCAAGCTTTGCTCGAAATTGGTGGGGCTAGAAGGCTCATCTTATCCTGAGCTAGATGCTCCTTCCTTCGTCTTCAAGATGGGTGTACTAGATGCTCCTCTTTCTTGAACTGTCTCTTGCACGATCTTTAGATTTTTGGTTTGTCTTCTTGTACTTACTGGCCTCGTGCAAAATTCAGCAAAATAAAAGAAACTTTAAACTAAATAAAGACACAATGTGCTTAGATGCTTTATATATTATTAAAAATCTCCGACAATGACGCCAAAAACTTTATGTGTGATTTTTAAATCAAAGTCATAAATCCTAGGAGATGCCTAAGGTCGTATTCCATGAGATCTTCTAATGCATAACTACTTACACCAACCATTTATGACACACACGAAAATAGTAGAAGCATTTAGGGTCTTTTCTCTTAACAAACAAGCAAGCAAGAATATTAAAATTGTTTATGATTTTTTTTTACTTATAAAAGCATAAAAGTAAAGATACTATCATGCATACGATTAATAACTTTTCTGTAAATTATATGGATAATGTTACTAATTTTTTTTTTATCCACATAAAGCCAACCACTAAAATATAAGTCATTTTGCAACCAACATTAATTGTACAATGGTCTGATTCGGATAAGACCAAATTCATGAAAATCATGGTCCAATAGTGAATGACATCTAAGATCAAGTACTGGATCAATAGTGCATTCAATCTGATTTGGTCTGATCCACATGTCAGTTCAATTCATTTTTTTTCAAATGATTTAGTTTTTTTTTTTTTTTTTTTTTACAAACAAGTTATTTTGTAACTGTTATAAAGTAGATATCAATTATAATTTTGTGGCAAACGACTCGTTTGCCAATGAAAAACAAAGCTAACCATTTACAAATGACTAGTTTTTTCGTCACTACTTTTCACCAAATGAGTCGGGCAAAACCATGACTGGTGTAAATATAGCATGCAAACGCTACAACTGTCTGACGTCTCTCCCCAGTCCCCACTAGAAAACGACATCCTAGCTAAGTAGCTAACGACTTTCGGTAGGACGAATTCGTTGCTAATTCTACATTGTGCGACCAACGGAAATACGAACGTAGTCTGTCTTCACGACGATGCACTTGTCCAGCTCCTGCATCAAATCAAGTATCTCTACAAGAGGTCCGTGGCGAAGCTAACGCAATACAGAATAATTGCTTTTTATAACCACAACAATGGCGAAAGATACAAATATGAGTATTGACCCACACAATACAGTATGTCAAAATTGGCTTTGTATACTCTTTCTGTTCTCTCCCTATATATTAGCAATCAAAATGTAGACACGAGACCTATACCTAGCTCCTCCGCCAGCTCATCCCAAACCGGAACCAGTGTCAGCACCACTAGGAAAATTGCCGTCATAACAGCAGCTTGTCTCCAAGTTCCAACCTCCGTCACGTCGTTTAAGCATGGCTTCTCCGGCGCCCTCTGAAAGCACATACACCACCATTAATCGATCGATAACGTCGTTGTAAAACGGCAAAGACTTTATTTGCCTAGCAGTTTCTTGGTGTTACCTGACATATCAACACGTACAGGCCCCAGGGGAGTGATAATGGGCCACCAAGCTTTGAAGGGAAGGAAAACAGAAGACGGGATTCCAATGTCAGCACCATAAGTTGACTGATGTAGTAGTAACATTGTTTCGCAATTGAGACCTGTATAACTGACACATGCTTTGTAATCAAATGAAAATTTCACCATGATGACGATTTGGCTTACCACTCCCAGACCAAGAAATGCGTATGTGGTCAACCCAAATCCAATAAGAGCACTTTTCCCGAAAGCACCCTGTAAAATGAGTTCAAGTTATGGGGCTAGGATTCTTCTACTCTACTTAGTGAAGAGAGAATCTAGAAGTTACCTGGACTGCTCTTCCACCATCAAGGCTTCCTACTGGCAGTAGATTAAAAGCTGTTGTAGTTAAGCCACACCTAATAAGAGAACGATTCGTACAGTAAGTTAAAAGATATTTTATGGTTTTTCAAGAAAACGTATTCGAGAGTCTTTACCAGCCAGCAATCACAAGAGGATGGATAGAAACTGTTGCAGCATGCATTGCTCTGCATATTCATAACATCAATTTGTATGAATCAGAGTCTCAAGGTGACTTTCTATATTATTTTTCTGTTGATCATCAAGGATAAAAGGCTCAGGGATTTGTCTGGGAGGGACATACGCATAACCAAGGGTAGCTCTGCTGATTAAGCCGAGAAGTAAAGAGCCCTGGAACAGCATACTAGGAACCTGTATCAAGTCTTCAGTAGCAGCAGGATTTGATGAAAGCAGCAGGCCGACGATGAACATGGAGAAAGAGAGAATAGCACCGGCAAATGGACCAGCTAACGAAATGTCGACTTTTGTACTCCGATCAGGAAGGATAGATTTGAACTACAATGACCACAGAAATCAGTGAGTTGCGACATAGTAATCATTTTACTTAAACTTGTGATGTCCCGCTAATGATTACATGCTCTCACCAAATTATTGCTTCTACTAAAGTATATATCTTTCACTTCCCGCAGAAAAGGTTGCTAACAATGTACCTGAGTTATTGCACCAAAACTTCCAAGTGTAATGTTGGGGATGAAGAATGGAATGCTGAGTTTCACTTTTTTAGGGAAAGCAGCAATAAAATGACCAAGTTCCTGCAAAACCCAAACAAGGAACTAATTGTTGAATTGTCCGAAAAACTAAGTTTCCTGCAAAACGCCAAGTTTATATAATAAGTAAAATTCTGAACCAAAAACTAAGTTTGGAATTTGTCCGAGAAATGGCTATTCCATGAGATTAAATGAAAGTGAGAAAAAACAACTACAGATGCCGCCAAGTTTATTATACCTCTCACTGGACTCTTGACCCAAAACAAGGGCATGCAATACTACTAACGAATTCAATATTTACATTATGCTGCTTGATTACAAAGGATGGTATCTAGGGGTAGAAAATTCAGTTGCTTTCACAGGGCTTTCTCTAAGTTTTTAGTTTTTCCCTTCTTCTGGCGGTTGATTGACTTCATATGTTCAGTCGTGAAAAGGCAGCAGTTATCTACCGACCTAGCATATCAAGCGTAGCACCAGTTCTTGTCCCATGTATGAAAGTAGCAGGGGCTAAAGCAAATAACACTACCTACACACATTAGGTGGCCTACACGAGATATAAAAAAAAGTTTCATACTGCATCAGCATAGTACAATAAACCACGTGCAGCTTCAAATAGTCAAATATCAATAAGGAGGTTCCTCACATGAAATAGCAGAATTCCTAAGATACCATAGGCTAACGGCAAAGCAGAATCCACAAACGGGAAAAGCAGCTGCATATCTGGTGGTTCAACGGCATTTGGATCGGTAAAATACTTCACCACTTCTGGAGGAAGGCGATTGATCTGGTGTTGGAGCAAAATGCAATAATCATGCAAAAAAGGAAATTAACTAACGGATAAGAGAAAGGCAGCTAAGAAGATGGAAATTCTAGGTCAAGTTGTCATGTGCGCAAAGTATACACAACCTGACAACCAAATAGCTAACCTGAGATGCAATTCCTAACTCGACAGAAGAACCAACTGTTAAAAGGAATAACAGCATAGCAATCACATATTGCCAAAGTGTGGTTGGCCCTGGCTCGGAAACCTCCTTTCTTAACAAACCGAAACTAACTCGTGGACCACCACGAGGATCTGCTCCTTCTGCATTGGGTTCTTCCACCATGAAAAGGTTGTATTTATCACCCGTAATCTCTGCTAGCTGATTCTGAAGTTTAGCAAACACGTCTTCTCTTGCCCCCCTTAAATTCCCAAGGAAAAGAACGCCCTCACCAAGGTCTCCAAATATTTCTTCCTTAGTAACCCAAAAGGTTGAATACCCGAAAAGCTTGTCCTTTATTAGCTTGACATCAGATGGATCGACCTTCTCGGGTCCTAGAAGCTCAAGCAATTTGAAAGAGTCCACTTGGAAATTACTGTAAGCTGGTCCAAGAGAAGATATAGTTGGTGGCTGAACAAACAAACAAACAGAACGTATCAATGATCAACATCTCATTGTTACAGATAAATAGTGCTTGACATATGCATTTGTAAAATGAGAATCTAGAAAAAAATTGTTAACTGTACAAGCTTAATCCTTAAAAGAATTGCAATAAGCAACCAAGTGCAACATAACCATTGCCAAAAACATAATTCTCCTGGAAAGACTAGATAAATTCGATGCCAGCAAGTCTTAGACCTCCATTACCACAAATTGCTGAGCTCTAAATGCTTTGTCCAAGCATAGCGAAAACGAATTCTTTTACTGAATCTTTCAGTCCTTCCATTAAGCAAGCAAAATTTTAGCCCAAGCAAATGCAGCTAGCACTAAGAAAATAATTGCTCTGGTAGAGGACAGGATAGAGATATATAGAGAGGGAGGGGTACCTTTGATGAAATAGAGGCAGGAGAATTGTCAGAACCAAATTCATTATCCCCGGCAGTTCTCTCCCCATTGTCTTCAGGGGATGCTGTTGCTACACTAGAATCTTGCCCACCCATTTCACTGCTTTCCACTTCTTTGCTACCGTCATTACTGTTAACACCATCCCTATCGTTATTCTCACCAAAGCACCAGACTTTAGTAGAATTCTTCCGAAACGTAATATACTCCCTCTTGTTGCTGACCATTCTTCCCCCGCACAGATGACAAGAACCTGAACCTGATTTCTTCCTATACGAATCGAACCCTCGAACCCGCTCCCGGAAATTGTCATCAAAGTGACCCGAACGAAGCCTGAAATTCGGAGTGGTAAAGCTGTAGCTCGCCAGCGTTCCCATCATAAATCCGCCAACGGAAAGGCTTTAGCTCTTCAGCTTTCTTTTAGAAAGTGGCTGGCGATGAACCAGTGAGGAACAATACAGTACGGTGGATTACAAGATTTTTGGGTTTCGGAAAGTGGGGTGGGGTGCTATTCCAACTTCCTCAATTCAACCCGGATTATCGGGTATATAATATATATTTTCTTCATTTTCAAAGACTTCAACCGTATTTATTAGCCAAATTTTTTCGGATTTTTTTTATTAGCTAAATCTATCGAAATATTAATAATTAGATAAATGTTAATTTTTAGTTAGCAATTTTGTTAGTAATATTGATTTGGCAACATGATACTGTCCCAGAATCAACAAGAACGGAGAGGGAGGTCATAATCCACGATTTGAATGCTGAGGCACATAGGTTAGGGATAATTTAGTGGCGTTTTGCCAAATGAGAATGTAATGTTGGAGCCCACTATTTGGCCCTAGGGATGGCAATGGGCCGGGTCGGGGACGGATAGTGCATATCCGTTACCCTACCCAAAGTAGTTCGGGTTTTACCCATACCCATACCTACATGTGAAACGGGTAGAAAATTAAAACCATACCCATACCCGTTCGGGTTTCGGGTATCCGCGGTTATCCATGGGTAATGATTTTTCTTCATAACTATAACCAATATGTTAACATTCACACGTATTCTCACATTATGTAAGAAGAAAAGTACGACAATAATTCACTAGAATGAAGAAAATTAATTTAAACAACACAATTTCATGAAAATATTATATTTATATGCTAAATATAAAATATGTTAGAGAAAAAAATGATTATTTCTAGACAGAATACATATGCATGTGTATAATCGGGCGGGTTCGGGTTGGATAGTGAGAAACCCATGCCCACCCATTACCCGCAATATTCGGGGTCGGATGTTACCCATACCCACTAATATGTCCTTCGAGTTCGGGTTCTACCCTACCCGATTAGGCCGGATTCGGGCGGATATCCACGGTTACGGATATTTTTGTCATCCCTATTTGGCCCATATTAAGTGTAATTGGGAGGCCCAAGAATGTTGGACAACCAGGCCACCTGCTTTTCTCCTACCAATTTTGGATAAAGAGTCTATTCTACATTAATAAATAAACAGATATTCCTATAAAAAAAAACAAGAACTAATGGCTTGGGTATTCATAATTGCATTTTGAAATAGGATTGTCTCACCATCACTCACAAGCTTCTGGATAAACCTGATCAAATTCAGATTGAATTTGTCGCAACATCAGACCGCACCTAGGATTATACGATTATTTGGATATATAGGTTTCTTGTTCTTTTTGAGGAGCAGTTGACCCTTGATGATGTAATAATTCCTCTTTCATAATCAAGTTGTTACATGTTCAAGATATGCCCGCTCGCTTGTATTTCATGAAAAGTGGAAGATACTACTGTAAATGTATCATATACAAGAATTAGTAAAATTTAACTTATTCGATATAACTTCAAGAACGGTAAAATAATCACTAAGATGTTAATTTGCACTCAATGGCCAGTAAAGCTATGAATTATAGGACGACGATCTACCTATTTGGAGCTCGATTACTGTTAATTAAAGAATTTATGAATTTTTGTGCTTGAAATTGAAAAGAACAAAGAGAAAAACAACGGAAGAACGTAACATTTGGTTCCAATACGGAGCAATGAATCGACTTCTCGACTAAAGTAGTCGATTCACCACTTTTAATTCAAGGTTTCTCTATTAACCTATGCAGAGACTATCGTTCTAGGTTAAAGCAAGAATTACACAGGCTTGATCAGGACTCATGCAATTTTGATTAATTCCTCAACTGAATTTATCAAATCAATCATTCGCAAATGGGGTTCATACAATCATTCCTAACATACACAGCTAGGTTCTTCATACCCAGATGAAATCGAAAATTACTCCTTGGAGAGATGTGAGAACGTCATGCTCGGAGAAGACATAATCAAATCGACAATGGGAATCTTCTCCCGACGGCTAATCGGTTCTCCGAGGTTGAGGAATCGACCTTCGAAGACTTCAGATCGCTCCAATCATGCCCAAGGGTTTTTCTTCTTCACTCTCTCTCTAGGGTTCTTTTCCAAGAGTTATGGCTTCTTTGGAGTAGTTACAACCTCGACCGTAACTTGAAGAGGGAGACTGTAACTCCAAGATTGCTTCTGGAACCTAGATCTTCCACTTCCCCAGGGTTACGGGTAGGGGGAAGAGGTTATGGCCCTTGCAGATAACTACTAGACTCCTTGGCACTCTTCAATCCAGAGTTACGACTCCTTGAGGGTAGTTACGGGCCAGACCGTAACTTCCAAGGTCTGGCCGTAACTCCCAGGTGCTCGTTGCCCGTTCACTCTAGAATGGTTCGAAACTCGCTCCTTCGCACCTGCTCACGCACTAGGGCCTAAAACATCATTAACTAACACACACAAGAAATGATGGGGAAAACCACGTTAGTCACATATTCGAAAATATGACTATGCGAAAAAAAAAAGCTTGAATAGTTAATAAGCTCACAAAGAATGTCAATCGAGAATACTTTCAAAATAAATGGCCGAAATACACGTAAATAGATGGAAAACTCACAAATATTGTCAATCTATAAGAATTCAAAAATGAAAATGGCATTACTGGTATATATGTGATCTGAATATGCGTCAAAATGAAACCCATCTTTTTATATTGGTGTGATGCCACTAAAGTTGATGCGAAATTACAAAAAAAAAAAACTCTTAATGAATAGTAGCATGAAAAGCATCTTCTTATACAATGTAGCTATGGTGCACAACGGTTCATTTAACCCGCTGACTGGACTAACGGCAGCGGCTGTGTAGAAAGATTTGGGAAATCAGAGACAGTCGACAAAATAGCTCGTTGGGAGTAAATCAACGTCACTAGAAGCTTGGAAATCAAGTCAAAATCAATCAACTGATTGATTACATAATCATCTCAAGAATCACTCCCCAAATCAAGCGTTGCAAATAAGGAAAGACGAGGTGTTTCCAACTCACACAAATCTTCACCTCCTCATCTATAAAAGGGACTGAATCGCATTACCTCAAGGCACTTTTGTGAGACAACGGAAAAGGGTTTCGACACAAAAGGGTTTAGCAAAGGGGAAGAGGTTCTTTGCTAGTGGCTGATACAAATTCCGGAGTTTGGAATTTGGGTTGCTTATTCGTCATTCTACCTTATTTCTAGTATTTCTTTCTTTGAGTCTTCGTTTCAATTTGCTTCTTTTGTATGTGTAAGTCAGATCGTAAAAAAAATATAAATAGAGTCGTAGGTGTGGACGTAGCCCATTGCACCAGGGTGAACCACGTTAAAAATATCGTGTGTTCTTTAGATTTCTGCACTTTTCTTTTCGTACATCATCTTCCATATCAATTCTCTGTTTTCCAAGGATTTTGATCCAAGGAAGAAAACAGACCTAAGTGTTCTTTATTGGTCTCCTCGGCTGGGCTCACCAATTCTCAAGCCTATCTCAACGTTGGCTTTCTGCTCATAGATTTCGAGTGGGCTTGAGAAGATCAGGCCCAAACTGAAGGGGAGAATCAGAACGAAAAACATCGAAGGACTTCTCCTTCATTTTCGATCTTCTTCCCTCTTCTTCTTCTGCTTTACTTTCCCAAACTTACAAGCCCTGAAAGATGATGAATGGTCTTTTGCTATGATTGAAGAATTGACTCAATTTGAACATCTTCATGTGTGGGATCTAGTTCCATGTCCTGATACTGTGACTCCTTTAGGAACAAAATGGGTTTTTCGGAATAAAACTGATGAAGAAGGTATAATAATCCGTAATAAAGCTCGTTTAGTTGCTCAAGGATACTCACAAGAAGAAGGGATTGACTATGATGAGACATTTGCACCTGTTTCTCGTCTCGAATCAATCCGTCTTCTCTGTGCTTTTGCTAGTTATATGAACTTTAAATTATATCAGATGGATGTTAAGAGTGCCTTCTTAAATGGTATCATAGAAGAAGATGTCTATGTAACCCAGCCCCCTGGTTTTGTAAGTCATGAACACCCAAACTACGTTTTTAAACTAAATAAAGCTCTCTACGGCCTTAAGCAAGCTCCTCGTGCTTGGTATGACCGACTCACGTCGTTCTTACTAAGTCAAGGCTTTGAGCAAGGATCTGTAGACAAAACTTTGTTTATTAAACGTGTTTCTAGTGATCTTCTTTTGGTTCAAGTATATGTCGATGACATTGTTTTTGGATCAACCAATGATCAACTATGTTCTGATTTCTGTGCTTCTATGAAAAGTGTTTTTGAGATGAGCATGATGGGTGAGCTACAATTCTTCCTAGGTCTACAAATAAAACAAACTAGTGCAGGTATTTTTATTAATCAATCTAAGTACATCTCCTCCATGCTTAGTAAATTTGGCTTCAACTCGCTAAATCCTAGCCCTACACCGATGGCTACTACTACTAAGCTTTGTCAGGATGAGACAGGAAACCCGGTAAATGAGTCTCAGTATAGGGGCATGATAGGTTCTTTACTCTATCTTACTGCCAGTCGACCTGACATCCTCTTCTCTGTTTTTCTATGTGCTCGGTTTCAATCGGCACCCAAAGAAAGTCATTTAGCTGCCTTAAAGCGCATTTTTAGGTATATTAAAGGCACATCTGATGTAGGTCTATGGTATCCCCGACATGATCACTTTGATCTATTAGGCTACAGTGATTCTGATTTTGCTGGTAGTCTTACTGATCGTCGTAGCACCACTGGTAGTTGTCAGTTTGTAGGAACCTCTCTGGTTTCATGGTCTAGTAAGAAGCAAAGTGCAGTGGCTTTATCCACAGCTGAGGCAGAATATATAGCAGCTGGTAGCTCATGCACTCAGCTTCGTTGGTTAAAAAATCAGCTAGCCGATTATGGTATAAAAACATTAATCATGCCTTTGTTTTGTGATAACACCAGTGCCATCTGCATTACTAAAAATCCCGTGCAACATTCTAGAACCAAACATATAGAAGTGAAATACCATTTCATCTGGGATCTAGTCCAAGCTCAAACTGTTGCTCTCCATCATATTCCTACTGAATTTCAACTGGCGGATATTTTTACAAAATCTCTCCCTGCTGATCGATTAATCTTCTTGTGCTATGAACTTGGGCTTCGC